CATATATACATATACATATATACATATACATATATACATATACATATATACATATACATATATACATATATACATATACAACAAAAAAAATAAATAAATAAATAAACTAAATAAATAAATAAATAAATAAATAAATAAATAAATAAATAAATAAATAAATAATATATTTATTTACATGTTTATTTCTCCAGACTTGGTCAACAACATCAAAGATCATCCATTGACCATTAGGAGACAAATATTTTAGGTTAGGGTCTACTAAGGAGAAGGGGGCCCTTGCTGCTGCTGCTGCTGCTGCAGCAGCAGCAGCAGCAGCAGCAGCAGCCTTCTCTGTTGCAGCACGCCTTTTTTTACCAGGTATACATGCAGCAGCTGCAGCAGCAAACTCCTCTTGTGCATGCATTTCTGCTGCAATTGCTGCTCTATTTGCTATTTCTTCTTCTTCTTCTTCTTGCTGCTGCTGCTGCTGCTGCCAGCAGCGCAGCACAGCAGCAACAGCAGCAAATTCCCCTATTTGTCTCCATTTATTGTCTCCTTTTTTATATATATAAGATAAACCATCAATAAGATGCCATGAATAATATACACGTAAGGAAGATAAACTTAATGGGCCTACTATACCACTCTCCTCCTCTGTGCTGCTGCTGCTGCTGCTGCTGCTGCTGCTGCTGTTGTCGTTGTTGCTGCTGCTGCTGCTGCTGTTGGTGTTGTTGTTAGATGCAGCAGGATTTGTATCGGTTGCTGATACACTAACAGACTCCTGCTGCTGCTGCTGCTGCTGCTGCTGCTGGTCTTTATCTCCTTTTTCTTCCTGCTGGTGCTGCTGGTCTTTCTCTCCTTTTTCTTCCTGCTGCTGCTGCTGCTGCTGTTGCTGTTGCTGCTGTTCTTGCTGCTCTTTTTGCTGCTGCTGCTGCAGTTCTAGCTGCCTCTGCTGCTCTTTCTTTAATACAGCAAGGGCATCAGGGGGGAGGAGGACATACCATTCCTCTGCCTCCTCATCAAAGGGCCCCTCGGGGGGCCCCTCTCCCTCGGGGGCCCCCCCTCCTGCCTCTGGTGTCCCACCTGTCCCTGGGGCCCCTTCTCCCTCTTGGGGGGCCCCTGTAACGGGGGGGCCCTCTTGCCCTTCGGCCTCCCCTCCCTCTTGGGTACCCTCTTCTGTGTTCGTAGTACCCCCTACAGATGCAGCAGCAGAATTTGCTGCTGCTGCAGTACCCTCGCTGCTGCAGGGGGGCCCCCCATTTCCTTCTTCTACAATAATATCCATAGGGGTAGGCTGGGGGCCCCCCTCTTGTTGCTGCTGCTGCTCATTGGTACCCATTTTTTTTATGCCCGTGCTGCAGCACTGTGCATGCAAGAGGGGGGGGCCCTCCCTTAATAAGACACAATTTATTTATTAAATAAATAAAAAATAAAATTGTTTTGCTGCTGAGCTGCAGCAGCAGCAAAAACTACGTTTAAATATGCCTCTTTTGTACCCTTTTTCCTGCTCTCAGCTGTATGCGCAGGGGCCCCCGGGACCCGATCTATGCCCCGGAGGGGGGCCCCCTCCTCCTCCAGCAGCAGCAGCAGCAGCGCACGTGCATGCATGCACAAGAGGAGGATTTTGTTGTTATTTTCTTTTATTTTTTATTTAAATTTATTTAATTAATTATAATTATTTATTTTTTTATTTATTTTATTTATAATTTACTTTTTTATCCTTAATAAGAGGTACTATGGCGTGCTGCTGCTGCTGCTGCTGCTGCTGCTGCGTGTGCAGCAGCAGCAGCAGAGGCAGCAGGAGATGAGCTTCCTAAACCCAAAACCCTAAACCCTAAACCCTAAACCCTAAACCCTAAACCCTAAACCCTAATAATTAAACCCTAAACCCTAAACCCTTAAAAAAGGAGAATAGAAATAAATGTCCCAATTTATCTTTTTGTTGTTTTCTTTCTTTCTTTTCCTTTGTATAAATTAATTATTTATTTATTTTAATTAAATAATATATTATTTATTTATTTATTTATTTATTTATTTATTTATTTATTTATTTATTTGTTTATTTATTATTAATTAAATATTTATTTTCTTTTGTTTTTATTCCTTCCTTCCCCTACAGCAATAACCTTGTTGCATTAAAGCGGCAAACCCTAAACCCTAAACCCTAAACCCTAAACCCTAAACCCTAAAGACTACATTATAAATAATAAATAAATAAATAAATAAATAATAAATAAATAAATAAATAAATAATAAATAAATAAATAAATAAATAGTAAATAAGCAATGAATAATAAGACAAAAAAGTAAACATCTGCGGTGTATAAATGTTGCTATAATTTACCATCTAGGGTTTAGGGTTTAGGGTTTATTATTTATTTATTTATTTATTTATTTTATTATTCGTTTTCTTTTATCTAAACCCTAATAGAGAAGAAATAATTATTTAAGGATATTCCCTATTGAAAGAAACCCTAAACCCTAAACCCTAAACCCTAAACCCTAAACCCTAAACCCTAGACAACATGGTATAACGGGGTGTATAGGCATCATAAGAATTAGGATTTAACCCTTTCTTAGTTTTTTTTTATTTATTAAATAATATTCATATAAATAATTATTATTTATTTATAAATAAATAAATAAATATATAATTAATTAATTAATTAATTAATTATATTTATTTATTTATATATTTATTTATTTATAACAGTAACAATTAATAAAGGCTAAAAGAATAATATATCTGTCTGTTGTAGGTTTACATTTATATGCAAATAAGCAGCAGCAGCAGCAGCAGCAGCAGCAGCAGCAGCAGCAGCAGCAGCAGGAGCCTATTATCTTCGTCTTTAGTACCTACCTTTATAACAATACTAAATAGCATAACATAAGTGTTGCATGCATGCATGCATGCATGCATGCAACACTTATGCATGCATGCATGCATGCAACATTTACTCATGCATGCATGCATGCATGCATGCATGCGTGTGGGGCCCTATGCATGCATTGTATTTATTTTTGTGCAAGGAGACAGCAAGGGGACCAAAAAAAAGATAAACAGATATTTATTTATTTATTTATTTATTTATTTATCTATTTATTTACTTGTTTAGGTATATATATTTATTTATTTACTTATTTATATTTATTTATTTATTTATATTAGTTATAATATATTTTTGTCTCCTTTTCTTCTTATTTATCCTCCTGTCTCTCTTGTTAACTAGACAAATACATAATATGTATATATACATATAAACGTATATATATATATATATATATATATAT